GACAGTGTGAGACTGGGTGAGGAGAGACAGTGTGAGACTGTGGGTGAGGAGAGACAGTGTGAGACTGGGTGAGGAGAGACAGTGTGAGACTGTGGATGAGGAGAGACAGTGTGAGACTGTAGGTGAGGAGAGACAGTGTGAGACTGGGTGAGGAGAGACAGTGAGACTATGGGTGAGGAGAGACAATGTGAGACTGTGGGTGAGGAGAGACTGTGAGACCGTGGGTGAGGAGAGACTGGGTGAGGAGAGACAGTGAGACTGTGGGTGAGGAGAGACTGTGGGTGAGGAGAGACTGTGGGTGAGGAGAGACAGTGTGAGACTGTGGGTGAGGAGAGACAGTGTGAGACTGGGTGAGGCGAGACAGTGTGAGACTGTGGGTGAGGAGAGACTGTGAAATTGTGTTTGAGGAGGGAGTGTGAGACCGTGGGTGAGGAGAGACTGTGGGTGAGGAGAGACAGTGAGACCGTGTTTGAGGAGAGAGTGTGAGACCGTGTTTGAGGAGAGACTGAGACTGTGGGTGAGGAGAGACAGTGAGACCGTGTTTGAGGAGAGAGTGTGAGACTGTGTTTGAGGAGAGAGTGTGAGACCGTGGGTGAGGAGGCACACGTTGTGCAGAAGGCAAAGATCACGTCAGGACTTCAGTCAAGGCTGTCTCATGTTCTACGAGGGTCTGTAAAGCTCACATCATTTTTGTCTTTAAGCCAAAGTGTAAAGTCTAGGTCACATCTCTGTACTGTGCATGGAAACATCTGAATCCCATTTGCTACAGTTTAGAAAGTTTCTGTAGAGGTCAGGGTTTATACTTTTTGGTGTAAAGTTTTCAGGGAGGGACTCTTTGTTAAGGAGCTGAGGGTAGAAATCTGGATAGCATCGGTATAAAACCCTAAAGAGATTGTTGCCTGTTCCCAGATGGGATCCTAGTTTAAGCCCTCTGGCTTCTCATGAAGGTTGTTCTTCTGTTTGGCACCATGTGAGGGCGATGTGCTTTACAGAAAAGAACCCCGCCAAGAAGCCAAGTTCAATGAACAAGTTGTTCATTGATGTAAGACTTTAGATTTGGAATTCTTGCTTGACCAGGGCCGTCCGTTGTTTAGTCTGCCCAGTGTGGACTTTGTGTGGCACTGCGTAGTGGATACTGTTCTCCAGTGGCACATACATTAAGAATGGAAGGCAGGAGGGAAGCTACGTTAGAAGTTCCCGTTCCAGGAATTTTCTGAGTCCTGATTAAGCCATGATCTGCTTTTGCTTGGCTGGGATTGGCTGCTTTTGGTTCAGCAGGAAAACTTATACCGACTCACGGGGGCATGGTGTGTCTGCAGGGTAGCTGCAGGGTAACGTGGAATGGGTTTCTGGGTTGCGTGATGGCCCTGGACAACACAAATAAAAGACAGCAGCTGGAACCCCGGCTGAGCGTGTGTGCATCGTACTCAGATTGCGGCTCTCAGCGGTGCCGGTAGCTTTGTTTCGGCCCGGTTGACTGTGAAGTTGAGAATGTGGTGTTGTGGGTGCATCTGTTGAAACTCGTCCGTAGAAAGGATTGGGAGAGGCAAGATGTCAAGGAGATGATTTTGATGCTAGTAAGTGGAACATCTCAAAGCTCCCTCGTAG